ATACAAGTAAATAAAGCATGTTTTCCATATCCCTTACATGATTATACATTTTATATATTGTAATGAAAAACAAATTATCCCCAAGACTCCACATATATTCATATCCAAGAAATTTGTTGTAGATTAACAGTGTGTAAGCAAAGGAGATATCCATTTATTGGCAGGCTGCCTTTCACAGCTACAGAGAAAGGACCAATCACTTCATTACTTATTGAAAGGTACTTTTATAAGGAATCTTAAAGGATTCACCAACCTAAACTTTTATATGAGAAAAGCAACCAGTCAGCTCTACTTTAAATCTTTAGGGAGCATACCCACTTATCAACAGGTTTTTTATATCAGGAGCCTGAGGGCAGAAGTGGGTATAAGAAATTAATCGTCACCTTTGGTTGCCAACCAATCTTAGGAGGAAAGGCAAGTCAATGAATAATAACTGGGTGGCTTCGCTCATTCTTGTTCCATGAGCTTAATGAGTTCTTCATTCCACTATGTGCTTTTCTAAAACTTTAGATTGTCTTCGTGGGTTTTTCACCTCAAAGCTATCTAATAAAAACACCTTACTCTAAGCTTTGTTTTAGCTATGGTGTACTCTGAAAGCTGTAGACACATCTCCCAATATTAAGGTTAAAAAATGTTAAGTTGCTAGGTGACTGGGACTCAGTTGTTTTTGTTAATCATTAACCTAAACCACAAGATATACCGCTTCTCAATAGACAGTCATGTGTTCTAGCTGTGTGACATTTTCTTGTTTTATTTTTATCATAAAACTCTATTTAAACTAACATTATTATTATCAATTAATAATAAATCCTGTAAGGATGTGTGCTAAGGATGCTTTACCAACTGGACGTTCACATGCAGAAAAAACAAATCAAAACACAGACTAAATTTCTTACAAAAATTAACCACAACTTGATCATAAATACTAACACAAAGCATGAACCCATGAAATTTCTGGTAGAAAATAATGATTAGCAATAACTTTTCACATATTCCAAAAGCAGGAGTCCTGAAAGAATAATTTTTATCTTGGACTTTATCAAAATTAAAGACCTTTTCAAAAGATACAATTAGATTAAAAAAAAGATAATTCAAAGGCCAGGAAAAATATACCATAGTACTTACTAACAAAGGACTTATACAACATTTGCAAAGAGCATTCAAATCTCAACAGGATAAAAAAAAACAAACAACTCTAGTAGTAAAAATAGGTATAGCATTGGCATGGTGACTTAGTAGAAAAAGGCACTTGTTGCTAAGTGTGATGACTGAGACCCATGAAAGGAGAACACAATCCCTGTAAGTTGTCCTTTGACCTGCACTTTCCCACAATTGCACAAATCTATGAGTGCACACACACACACACACACAGAGAGAGAGAGAGAGAGAGAGAGAGAGAGAGAGAGAGAGAGGTATGCACATAAGAGAATAAGTAAAAAGGTAATAGATGTGATTTTAAATGGATATTTTAAACAATACTAAAGAAAGTTTGAAGAAAAAATTAATCATATAAAAATATATCAGTAGTCACCACTAAACTGCAAATTTAAACAGATATACACTTTAGCACACCCACTGGAAAAGCTAAAATCCAAAACACTCATACCATTAGACATTAGAAAATACTATCCAACAGGGACTACCTTTAACTAGGGGGTTTTTGAAAGGAATCTGCCAGTTTCTTATAAATATAAACACACTGATACTATATAATCAAAGCTATTGTAACTTTAGTTTTGCAAATGAATTGAAATCATGTGCTTATCACTTCCTGTGCATAGGTGCTTATAGTGTTTTTATTTATGACTGTTCAAGCTTGGAAACAACAAAGTGAGTGCATAAACTAAAGTACACCTTTAGTGAAGAATGCAGAATAAAATGGGAAACCTGGATTTCCATTAGGTCCAAGGCAATATGTTCTATCATCATCACTATATCAGATTATGGAAGAAGCAAACTAGGTGCACAGCAAATGGTCTGTGATTTCCAGGGGTAGTCTTCTGTGTGGTATTGTCATGGTGGATATATGACATTGAACATCTGTAAAATCTTACAGAATAGACTGTATGAGAATTAAAGACAATGTGACATGTCAATCACAAATAGTGACACACAAGCATCACTGCAACAAGTCTAACATTAGTGCACATTGCTAACAATAAGGGAACTGCAGGTAACAATCTCCTAGATAGTTGGTACTTTGTTTTAAAGTAGGTCCCTACCTACCCTTCTATTCAGAAGGGGAGGGGTATGTACACATCTCTTGCCTGTGATTCTGATTAATACTTTCTAATCTCTATTCAAAGATTTAAAGATTTTAGAAGATGGAATGATATCCCATGCTCATGGATCAGTAGGATTAACGTAGTAAAAATGGCCACTTTATCAAAAGCAATCTACAGATTCAACTCAATCCTTCTCAAAATTCCATTGATGTGGGATTCTTCCCTGTATGCTGTGAATATGTTTTATTGCCATTAATTATAAAGAAGCAACTTTGGCCTATGGCAGAGAAGAATAAAGCAAGGTGGGAATTCCAAGCAGATACAGGAGAAAGGAAGGCAGAGTCAGGGAGACCCCATGTAGCTGCTGAAGGAGACAGATGCCCTGGAACTTTACCAGTAAACCATGAGTCTTATGATAAAATATAAAATAATAGAAATGGGTTAACTTAAGATGTAAGAGTTAGTTAATAGGAATCCTAAACTAATATGCCAAGTAGTTCTTTAATTAATATTGTTTCTATGTCTTTATTTCAGGTCTGGGCAGCTGGGAACAAAAAAAAAGTCTCCACCTACACAACACAATTCTTTATAGAACTTGCAAGAACAAAACTCAACTTCATATAAAAAATATAGCTAAAACAATCCTGTACAACAAAAGAACTTCTAGAGATACCATAATCCCCAATTTTTAAGCTCTATTACTGAAATATAGCAATGCAATCTTATGGTATTGTCATAAAAACAGACAGGTTGATCAAAGGATTCAAACTGAAGACCCAGGCATGTCTACCCACCTATTGGACACCTGATTTTTGACAAAGAATTCAGAAATGCACACTGTAAAGAAGAAAGTAAAAATTTCAACAAATGGTGCTGATCCAACTGGATGTCTGTATGCAGAAGAATGCAAATAGATTCATATATATCACCCGGAACAAAACTCAAGCCCAAGGGGATCAAAGACCTCAGCATAAATCCAGATACACTGAACCTGAAGAAGAGGAAGTAGGGAATAGCCTGTAACACATTGGCACAAAGAGCCAGCTTCCTGAATAAAACACCAATAGCAATAGCCTAGGTACTAAGATCAATAATTACTATATGGGACCTCATGAAACTAAAAAGCTTTTGTAAGTCAAAGTACACCTCCAATAAGACCAATGGGCAGCCTACAGAATGGGCAAAGATTTTCATCAACCCTACATCTAACAGAGGGCTAATTTCCAAAATACGTAAAGAACTCAAGAAACTAGGCATAAAAAAACCCCAAAGAATTCCATTTAAAAATGGGATACAGAAACATAGATTTCTCAACAAAGGAAACTCAAATGGCAGAGAAATACTTAAAGAAATGGTCAACATTTTAGTCATCAGGGAAATGCAAATCACCATGACTCTGGCATTCCATCTTACACCTGTCAGAATGACTAATATAAAAAACACAAGCGACAGCTCATCCTGGCTGGGATGTGGAGCAAGGGTAACACTCAATTGCTGGTGGGGGTGCAAACTTGTAGTAGCCACTTTGGAAACCAATATGGTGGTTTCTCAGAAAAGTGTGAATTGATGTATCTCAAGACCTAGCTATACCCCATTTGAGCATATACCCAAAGGAAGTCAATCATACTACAAGGACACTTGCTCAACTACATTTATAACAGCCCTATTTGTAATAGCTGGAAACTAGAAATAAACTAGATGTCCCTCTGGGGATAAAAAATGGATAAAGATATTGTGGTATATTTACACAATGGAGTATTACTCAGCTATTATAACACAACATGGGCAGGAGAGATCTCTCAGTGGTTAAGAGCACTGCCTGCTCTTCCAGAGTACTCGTGTGACAGTTGACAACTGCCTGTAACTCCAAGATCTGACATATTCACACCAAAACATTAATGCACATAAAATAAAAATGGATACATTATTTAAAAAGAATCGGGGTTTGTGAGGTGACACACACTTTTAAAAAATAAATAACATCATGAAATTTGCAGGCAAATAGATGGAAATAGAAAAACAACCACCTGAGTGAGGCAACCCAAACCTAGAAAGACAAACATGGTATGTATTCACTTAAAATCGGATATTAGTGTCGCGTCCATTCTCGTCCCGCAAGGAATGACGCGACCACCGGAGCTCTTCTCACTGCAGTTTATTCCAGGACTTTATTCACTTTCTCTCTCTCTTCCCCTCTCTCTCTGGGCAAACCCTCTCCCAGCCCTTAAGTAGGCATGGGCTGCCAACCCCGAACTGCCAGGTGGGCACTGCCCATAGGTTCACGCATATGCAGGCAGCTGATAATCATTGCGTGATCATAGCATAGGTCAGGCCTTAGCCACCTCAGGAGTTGATTATACATCTCTATCAGGTGTGACTCCATGCAGCTTGCTATATATTAGCTATAAAGCAAAGGATAATCATGCTATAATCCACAGACCTAGGGTTAAGTAGCAAGGAGAGCTGGAGGAATGCATGAAATAAAGTAGATATCACATGTTGGCAAGTAGCTTTGTCTTCTTGGTGGACTGGGTGCAGGTGGGGACAGGAACAAGAAGGACAAAGTGAGGGAAGGATGTACGGGAGACTACTGGGAGTGACAAGAGTAATTGGCTAGCATCTCTGGGATGAGCTAGAAACCTAGTGCAATGGAAATTCCCAGAAACCTAAGAGGGTGACTCTAGCTAAGATTCCTAGTAATCCAGGCAAGATTTTCAGTGGAGAGACTGGGACACCAACGCAACAACAATACCTTTGACCTACAGTTTGTATTACATGCAAGACGTGCTGGGATGGTACCCACATTGTGGGAGTGGCCAGCCAATGAATGGTCCAGCTTGAGACCCGTGCCACAAGAGGGAGCCAAAGCCCGACATTGTTGATGGGCCAGGAACTAAAGACTGGATAGAAACAAACACATTCAGCAAAACAAAAACAACAAAATAAAACAAAAAAAAAATTGAAAGGCAATTAAATGATAATGACATTCTGCTGTAGTTGTAGGCAGGGTGAAAGCATACTCATGATTAGAGAGTCTCCAGGCAGCAACTGATAGAAACAGTTGCAAAGACCCATTGCCAAACATTCAGCAGAGCTCAGGGAATGTTGCAGAGGAGAGGAATTGCAGGAGCGAGAGCGGTCAAGGACATAGTAAGAAAACCCACAAAGCAACTAACCTGGCCTCATAGGTGCTCACAGAGATTGAATAGACAATCAAGAAGCTGTGTGGGTCTGACCTAGTTACTTCATATATAAGTTATGGCTCTATAACCTAATCTTCGTGTGGGACTTCTAATATTGGGAGCAGAGACTGTCCCTGATGTTGATAGGACCTTTTTCCTCCTACTGGTTGTCCTGTCCAGCCTAATATGAGGGAAGGTGTCTAGTTTTACTCCAACTGTATGCCTTGTTTGGTTGCTATCCCTGGAGGCCTGCCCTTTTCTAAAGCAGAAGGAAGGGGAGTGGATTTGAGGAAGAGAGGAGTTGGAGGAGGAGGGACTGTGAGGAGAAGGGGAAGGGAAAATTGCTGTTTGGATGTAATATATGAGAAATGCACTTTTAAAAAGAATTATCACACAAACAAATAAACAAATTTTCCTTATCTTCTGACTTTCTCTTGGGAACACGGACACTTCTGCTAACAGAAATCTCAGTTTGCAGATCTTCCCCACGGCTCTGCTGGCAAGGCTGTAAGAGGAGAGAAGATGCTTGAAAGACGACGCTGCTGTATTTCAGCAGAAATTTTTCCATTAGCTTCTTTTGTTTTCAGAAAATATCACTGAAACCCTTGAGTAAGGCAGCGATATTTCTGGTTGTGAAGCAATGTCTTGCCAAGGAAAATGACAGACTATGTAAAGGGACTCCCCGATTTTTTTTTCCACGCACACATCAAAAACATTGTCACTGAGCCAAGAAGTGATTTTGCCATACATTCAATGAATGCAAGGACAAGAGTCTGAAATACAGTAGCTTAATAAAGCATCTTTGTCCTTCCAACGACTAAACATCCCAGAAAGCCTTTTATTCTGCGTCTGAATACTGGAATTACTGACAGTCTCAAGATCCAAAAGGATGCTTTCTGGAAGCACTTCACTAGATATGAAAAAAATAACTGGAGAAACAGAGTGGTCTTATTAAAGTTTTCTTTTGAAATAGCAAGGAAAGAAATGATTCCAGGAACCTTCAGTCAGACCCACTGAGACAGCTGCCTCTGGAGTCATGCTTGGTAACTGAGATACTGTTCCACACTCTAACCCTCTGCAACCTGAAGTGTTTCCTTTCAGGGACTCTGACTCAGGTAAACTTGGGATTTGTGGTTTCAGTACCGAAAGTAATTTCAGGGTTAGCAGGCATGAAGCATAGATGGAATGTATTCTAAGAAAGGACAGAAGTATACCTAAAGCAGAGGGAAGGGCTCCTGAAGAAGAGTTACATTATTAGGATAGATTTGAACCTGGGTTGTAATCACAAAGGTGAAGAGGAAGATACGGTGTGTATGGACTCTGTGGAGAGTAGCAATTAGTTGTTTTATTTTTTTAGGCAAATGTGCCATTTTGGTGACTCTCAAGTTATATCTGAAATATTTGCTAAAAAACTATTTTTGTCCTTCTTTTATCTTTTGGAAAACTGAGATCAGAAGGTGGCTTTCAATGAGGATTTTCCATCTTATAAGGTAAAAAAAAAACAGGATCTACTATGGATATACAAGGTGTTTAGTCCACCTTATTGTGTGTACATGGGGTTTCTGGTCAGACTTTTGGAAAACCGCAGGTTTGTATCTGGGAAGGGAGAAAGTCCTTTGGTAAAAGTTAATAGGTTGGATTCCAGAATATCACCTGGCAAGAGACCTTGGGCAGACTTGAATAAGGGCCTCACTTCCTTCCCAGTCCCCTACTGGCTTACCTATCTTCTGCCCAGCCTCAAGTTTAGGAGCACATGAATGCGATGGCGAAACACAAGGAATACAGAGCAGCCTGCAGATTTAGTGTTTTGTTGTTACTTTTGTTTTTTATTTGTTTGTTTGCTCTTTGCTCCATCTCTGAATGTTCCTCTCTTTTCCAAATGCATTCCCTAGTAAGCCGCACCATGTCTCAGACAGTTAAGATGCTCCATGATGCCAAGATCTCCCTTCTTACCTGTAGCCTGGTCAAAGTTGCACCATTATATTAGAAGGCATGAAATGTGCTCAGAAAGCTGGCAAGTCAGGCTACCCTCAGCATGCTCTTACTCCAGCCCTGATGCTGAAGACTCTTATTTATCCAAATGCTTTTAGTCTACTGCCTATTTTCTTAGTTCACTTGTCATGCAAAGAATTGCTCCGAAGGGACCAGACTCCAAATCCAGATGTTGCTCACTGAAGGACCAGCTTCTATCAACAGACAACCAGCTAGTAGCAGCTGCAGCGCAGGACGACTGACATTCCTCCTCCAAATCCACAACCCACCTCTCCTTCTCATTGAACTTCTCCTGTCTTCTTGGGTGTCCCTTCTACTCTTAGCTAAATTCTGTGTTCTATCACTTAGCAAACTGTAGTGAGAGGCCATCCTTTTTAGCTTTGGCAACTCTGTATGTACTATAGCTGCGAATAGGTACAAAAGTCTCTTCTTCCAATGGCAAATAGGGGACACAAATAAAATCCCTTATCTATGATGTGTAACTGGATAGATAAGTCAACAAGCTAGTTTGCCTGACAAGGATGTGGTAACTGAGGAGTTGCGTGACTTGAGAAGTTGCCAACGCCATTTGAAATACACTTACACTGTGTTCTGCTGGACCCTGGGAGTTCTTTATCCAGCTTTCTTATTTTTGTATAGCTTTCTCTTTTCATAACAGGAAGGGATGTGAAAAGAGGTCCTGGGAGGCACCAGGCAGCTGCTTGAACAATGTCAGAACTAGAATACGTTTCCAGGCAGTTACAAGACGCCTCTGTTTGAGTTTGCATTTGTTGGTATTTTTGATTTCTTGACATTGAGTCTTCCAGAGAAGCTTAATTAGCTGTTGATGGAAGAAGCTTGTGTTGCCACATCTCATACTTTAGGTGTTGAACAAACACCTGAAAACAGACAATTTGGGAGACTATCTCACTTGTTTTATCCCTTGACTTTTGCTTTCAAAATGCTATCTCTTGTGCTTCCTTCTGTGAGAAATTTCATTAAAAAGGAAATAAAAGAAGACCAAGGCAAACACAGAAACTAGAATCTCTCTGCCCAGAATCACAAAAGATAGAGAGATGCTGAAATCCTCGCTGTGTGAAATCCTCACTGTGTGAAATCCTCTTTGCCCAGCCTCTCCTCAACTCCCTGGCTAGCTCTAAAAAGACACTCCAAGGGGGAAATTTCACACTACCACTGATAGGCTTTCATACACATTTCAGCTTTCCTATTTTCCCAATAGGTAGTGGGGCTGTTTTCTCAAAAGTGAAAGAAAATTTGACAACAGTCTTATGGTATCTCGTCATTTTTAAGTCAGGTGCAACTCTTCCCTAGTTGGGCTCAGAAGACAGTAAAGCATCCTTGATAGTTGATTTCTATAGGTGTGTTGCTATGATGTTGTCCCAACAGGAATGGGCTATCACTGACTTTTCATAATGTAAGTAGGAGGTATCAGCTTTTCTTTTCCAGCTGGTAACTGATGTTGGCAGCTATATGGAAAAAAAAAAAAAAAGGGCTGACGCAGAGCAAATGGATTGATCACATAAGTTGTTGTTGCTCGGTTAGAGAGACTACAAATTAGACCATTAATACGAAACTGGAGTGAAGTCATATCTTATACATAGTCATGAGCTTTAAAATTTAGCTTAGAGTTAAGAGAAACCCCTCATTTTATAGAAACTCGTATAGACAGGCCAGGCGAGGGAATTGCACTAGAAAGACACACAAAGTAGGTAATGCAGAGAAAAGTATTTACAGACTAGTCACTTGGAACCTAAACAGCAGAGAATAAATTGACTCCTTCTGGAATACCTGCCTCCATGCCCTTCCCAATCTATGAGGAGAATAAAAAGCATGTTTAAAAACTACTGATGTTTCGCTCTAACTGCTTATACTGAGGATGAAAACACACTGACTAGTAGGTTACCATGAGGGTAGACGTCTTATAATTAATATTAAGAGTTCGTAAATGGGAAATGTGTAAAACTTCTTTGTATTTAATAATTCCCCTAAAACCTATTGCCATTCATTCCTCTTGTATATTGAAGGCCTCCCCCTTTGTTCGTCGCCCACCTGCTCTTGCCCTGATTAGCAAGTCCATTTCCTTACAGGCATCAGAGACAATACTGAAGACCAGATGAGACACCCAGTTTTGTGGACTAAAAAGTGATGGATTCTTAGATCTTCCATTCATAAGTAGCCATTGTTTGATTAGCTGGACCATAGCCTGTAAGTCATGTTATAAGTCTGTTTTCTATACATACAGTGAGAGAAACATTCTATAAATTCTGTTACTCTGGTGAAGAATAACTAATGTAGTAACAGTGATCCTTAATCCATAATAATGATGACTGAAATTTCTCAGATTCTTGCTGATTCAGAGATACTACATACTAATTTAAGACTTACTCATGATGAAGTGATACTCTTATTATTTTCACTTTATTAAACAGTCAACAGGCCAGGCATGGTGTTGAATGACTTTAATCTCAAAACTTGGGAGGCAGAGTCAGCTGTATCACTGAGTTTGAGATAAGCCAGCTCTTCATAGTGAGTTCCAGGACAACCAAGGCTATGTAGAGAGAGAACCTGTCTCAACCAAGCAAGCAACAACAACCAATCGACCAATGGAATCACAGGAAAATTAATGAAACTGTACAGAAAGTGATAGAACAAATTCTTACACTAAAGTAATTGACCAGACAAGTAATTGACTTGAGATTTTATGATTTTAATTACTGTATTAAATTTCCTGTTACCATAATTTTATGAACTTTTCTATATAAATGTGGTTAAAAAATAAAATGTAATGATTCAAATTTTTTTAATATACTCTGACTGAATACATTTCTAGACCAGTGTCCCTGTTGCTTAATGATGCTTCATTGTCTTAGACGTACATACCACAAAATAAATCGAGCAGTTCTAACTAGGTTTTTCTCCTGAATCTGTGCTACTGAACAGAAACTAGTAAGTGTCCTCATTTACATCATCACCGTCATCAGAACTGCTATTTCCTGAGCTGAGAAACCCTGCTAAGTCATAAAGATCTCAGACTATTTGCTAAAGAATTTATTAACTTGCAATGCTCCATTTGATCTGAGAATGCTAAAAAAAATGATAGCTGGTATTCTAGGAATGGAAATAAGTGGCTGGAGGCTAGCCTTATTTCACAGGTACAATCTTCTTGGTTGTTTAGTGAAATGCCTTTGAAAAATTAATAATGTGGTTCAGTGCACTTAAAGATGGTATGGGCTCTTGTTCGCTAGCATTTCTATGACCCGATACCCCAAAGGGGTTTTGCAGAGAAGCTGAATGCTTAATTAACCGTAGCTTGCATTGAGTTTCCATCCTTCCTTCAAAGAGAAATGGTTTACTCTGACTGTGTTTCCATGGTATTTCGTTCAGGCCCTGTGCTTTTGATGCAGCAGCAGAACTCAGGCAGCTGATTCTCTGTGTAAGTGGAGAACTGCCACCAAGCTTTAAAAGGACTTTAGTGCTAATGTCGTTGGTGTAGTTGAAAAGAAGCGAAGCAAA